CAGGCACAAAACAACATTAAACTCCCTGAATCCGACTGTAATATCTCCTGGTCACCAAAATTCATTTAGGAATCCTATTTCACCAAACAGACAGACAACAGGTTTCAGTGTAAAGTCATTGACAGTCTTGCTCAGAACAAATATAAGCTCAAAATGTTTGTGTCTAAATATTAACTTCTGAATTATCCAAAAAGTTAAATCGATCAATCAATCAATCAATCTTTATCTATATAGCACTATTTTAATCATAGGGTTTACAAGGTACTTTACAGATATTTTAAAAGGAGAGAAAGAAAGATATTAAAATAGGGACAAAAATTATAAAATACTACTAGAACTATGGAACTTGAAGCACCCATGTTCTCTGTAGAGGACTTTAACCCCCTACCTCACCGGGGACACTAGCCCCTGTCTCACCTGGGACACTAGCCCCTACTTCACCGGGGACACTAACCCCATACCTTCTACTTACCCTACCTTCATTCTGTCAAACAATAAGTCTCATAGGAATTTCCATACAGCAGGAAATGACTGGCATGGGAAAGGAATGAAGTAAATGGTATTGTCAGTGTACAAAAGCAGGCCCCTGTTTTCACCTATGCACTTTATCCGTGCACCATTTGCCAATGCCCTCTGGAATTTACAGCATTTAATGACATTCAAATTAGGATATATATGAAAATGTATTGAAGTGAACTTTTTTTATTTACATTAATCATTGAATATGATTTATAATTAACCTCAAAGTCAGAATTCATTAATCATTTTTCTTCAGTTTAATTTTTATTAACACTAAGTTTACCTTTCAGGTATGCACATCAACATTTTACTACCAAAAACAATGTCTAAAAGAAAAGTCTTTAAGATAATCATTATACTATATTACATTTTCCAATAGGGGTGTAGATGGATGTAGACTAATTGGTCTCAGTGTCCTGTACACAATGTGCCCAGTAAAATCAATAGACACCAATAAGACGTGTCTTACTGGTAGCTCTGCTCGTGGCACGATTGCCAGGCTCAGTACGACACACAGTACGCATGCGCAAATATTCACGCCTTTACATGAATTTCTCTAATTCAACGCGGACCTCTGCCGGTGAAATCATCGAACTACTAGTTGCGATACGTCATAAATTCTGCAAAATCAATAACCTCTGATATTTTGCAGGTTATACCATTACTACTTACTGATCCATGTATGTTTAAGCGTATAATTTCTCTTTTGACCCCAATTCACTGGTACATATCTTGCTCTAAGGAAAAAAGATGGGATATATACTTTTGGCCATAATATTAATCAGTTTAATAAATTTCCATTTTTACCATGTTAGTTTTTTACTGGTCCAGCAATATTTACAGAATGAAGTATTCTGAATAGCTACAAACCTGTAGTACAGTATCCATATGTACATTACGCAGTTTTAGCTTCTGTATTGCTGATATGAAAAAGAGGTAATCTTCAATTTGTTTAATTTTGTTTACTCTGGCATTTTGGTTACACGTCATGTGATTTATTGTCATGTTTTTGTATTCAAAAACTTGTTGGTATTTCAAAATCTTCCGCATCATTTTAATATCTTAGCAGTGGGACAGCGCCAGGGTAGCCAGTACGAGCTCCCGTTGTTCTGACAGAGGTCTCGTGAGAAATGATTTCTAGGGCTGTCAGTGGCACAGCTAATGAATCTTTCTGAGTGCTAGATGAGCTCTCAATGCATCAGTGAGACCAGGATTTTTGAGGCGTGAAAATATATTAAGCATTGTTCTGAGTATTAACATGGAGCCCGCAGCCGCCATGTTAGCTGTACTTTGTGAAGACCTGTTCTTCATGAGTACATTTATTGAAGGAGACGCCTCATTTGTCACAGCTTGAGGGATATCGTGAACCTCGAAGCCAGATACACCTGGAGCACACATACAATCAGGGTGGATTTTCTTACTAAATGGAATCAAGATCAAGCAACTGGCCAAACTGTGGCAGATGGACAGCCTTGTTTTTGTTTCACAAGTCCTTGGGTGACCACATATGTGAGGTGGACTGCCCACTGCGTGCACTGAATAGTATACCCAGTATCCATGTAGTCTTCTAATAAAACCAGGGTAAACAGGCTGCTGTACACTAATGTGCTCAATGATCAAATTAGCTTCTAGGACCTCATACAACAGACCTTGAGGCTCTGGTCTGCTATTAAATGTGCATGTTACATCCTCAAAATTATTTTGAATGAGGACCCTTCAGTCTGAATAGTAAACGAAGTGGTCTTCACACCAGTTTAGGCTAAATTCACTACCCCATCTGAATTCTGCACGAAAACAGTTTGTACAAACCATTGTGTACAGCAACAATTATAGTCTTTTGTAAACAAGTGAAGTCCAACTGTGACCCCACAAAGTTTTCAAATCTAACTTTTGAAGGCGTAACTGTAACAGTGCATGTACTATTGTGTACTATTATTTAAATATGAAGGTCACATTCTTTTCAAATCAAAATAATTTAATTCACAGATTACATTCAGTGCACTTCATTTTCTTGTTCTAAACACATATAATTGACAGAAATGGACAAAAACAACAGGAAAATATGCAGACAATTTTATAAATAAACATTTTACATGAAATTAATACCATACTACATAGCTAAACCAGATATGTAAGCCAAAAAGCTGTTGAGATGTTGTTGAAATAGAAACAGAGTTACATGGCTTATTTAAATTCCATTTTTCAGTAAGGCTCTTTCAAAACCTACCAGCCCTTCCAGTTTATTGAACACTAAATAAAAACTTAAACATGGACTATTTAATACACTAAAAAATCGTAATAAATAATTTGATAGTTTTTACTATTCATAACCTACAGATACATTGATTTTTATTATTTCAGCTTTATATGCTTGAGTATAATATGATTACAGGATTATTCTACATCTAGGCTATTAGTGTTTATCTGAAGACTAATTATTCGCTAGAAAGACTTGTGAAATTATTCTACATGGAGTTATGTACCTTTTAACACTATGCTATACTTCTGCCACGTTTAACGAAGGAAAAAACATAACCATTGAATTTGAATATAATAAATATAATATAATATAATATAATACCTGATATATCACAAGAATTTTAGAATCTGATGTATTTCTGCTTTGCACTAGTCAGCAGTTTCAGGGTAAATCACATTTAAATTAACAGCGTTATTAAAACCCTGAACAACATATTGGAAAGAGTTAACACTATACATTTAAGAGCCCTTGTAATTTTTCTCTGGGATTTTTCTTTTAATTTTAATTTGGAAAAGACTTATAATCATGATGACAATGAACACTACGCCCACGTCAAACACACTCAAGTATATTGTATATTTGACAGTCATATTTAAGAATATGGAATAAGGAACTTCCATTCTTGCTTTTCTATAATGCACTGTGGGTTTGTTTTACATTCTCACAAGGATTAGCAGTGTGCCATTTCTATCTTTACAAGATCGCTCGTAAGTTTTACTTAAACGCATTAAGTCTTTAAAAATGTTTACCCAGATAAAGGTGCTTAAAGTCTGTAATACAATAATCTACTATACATGATATTTTGTATCAGTATTAAATTACTAGTCTACTCGTCATGCAAAGTACAATGATAGTTTTATCCATTTATGTAGCAACAAGATTTTCTTCCCAAGTTGTACCCCAAAGTGTTATTGCCTGTGCTGTATGTTGATAAGTGGAATATTCTTCCCTCGTTGGTCGTTCATCCCTTAGGGAGATACAGTATTTGTCCCGATTCAGGTTTCCAACGGGTGCTGTATCCATATCAATGGGGACACGATGTTGATGACTTGGTGATGTTGGTGCTGTTGGTGCTGTTTCTCGCATTTGGAGTCCAAAAGAGCACGTAGTATATAACCAGAATAAAGGCAACAATGGACACACAAAGGAAGTACACAATCGCCATCACCACTTTTATCCAGGTCTTTGTGGTCGTGTTGGCTTTTTTCACCCACTGTTCTCCGGGGTAACTCGGTCTCCTTTCCATTCCATCGTTCTGTTTCCGTTTTGATTTTTTGCTGTTGCCTTTCATGACAGGTTGCTCAGTTCTATCCACACGATCAGTTCTTTCCCCGTTTGATTATGGAAAAGATATATGCTCTCTGTCAATTAAGGTTTTAAAATCACTTTGTTTCGTCAAGCTTGTTGCGCTTCTTGACGCTCAGTTGTTCACGGGTCTTAATACTGTGCACTGTTTTTCCAATCGGGATGTTGCACGAACTCTTGCATGACAGCTCTTGTGGTGTTCAAAGGTAAAATGAGGAATATACTTTTTATGATAAATACCCTGATCATGAAGCCGCGCCCACTTTAATGCAATTGATTGGAAGTTACACCATCCGGCAGAGGCACGCAGAGAAAAATAATTTTAAAGTAGGCTATTACTAGACCGAGCACTCAACAAGCTTCTTTTAGTGAATCGATTCTTTTGGGTTTTGTGATTTGTTCACATTCTTTCATTTATTCGGGCACCTCCGAAGTATTTTGTAATTATGGTGAGTATTGTTAAAATGGGACACTACGAAGATTTCCCTTCTAAAAAAATCACATCAATGTCTTGAATCCCAACTTGATATCATTCTAAATACATTAATGCCCCTTGAACACTACATAGAACAGAAAGGGTATTACTGAAGACATATATTAACTTCAAAGTTTAACTGTCCCATTTTGCCAGACGTCCCATTATATATAGTCACATAAAAATTTATAGTTACATGCATTTCATTTTATCAAATGCATTTCCTTAAAATCAATTTACACGATCGATTGTTAATGTTCTTGACGTCTGAACATCAGAGAAGCAAAATAAATCATGCTGGCAACTGCCGTCTAGGTGAGACAAAGGGCAACTAACCCAGTTACCCACAGCCAATCAAAAGTTGCCCACACCTGCTCAAAGAAATTGATGGGCATTGGTGGGCAACATCACCCTTAGAGAAAGCAGCACACAGGGCACAGATGCATGGAAGTCCAGTTTATTTATCAAATAAAAATCTCCACGCATAAAAATCCCACAAGTTGTTTACAACATTAGTGAAAATCATTATGTTTAACATGTTAAAGCATGTACATTGACATTCTGCAGGACTTCCACGTTAGTGATTTTTTTCCCCTCCCCCATCATCCTGATTCCCTTATACATACCCCTGCCAGTTTAAACAAACTACTACTATAAGATGACACACTTTGAGTGGGAGCAGTGCAGATTTCATAAATTTCATTAACTATTCATGACATGAGATGCATTATAGGAACCTCTACATAAATCTGGAATGTAAGCAGATATCAGTTATACACAATTTTCAAATTCATGAATTCACACTTTCAAAAACAAAATAAAAAGTCAGAAACTGCCTTAAACTTACACCCCTCTTTGATAACTTAATCATTCAACTGATTACTGGAATTGCATTAGTTCAAATTAAAAAAAAAAAAAAAATTACAATTTTCGTCCAAGGAGTCCTCTTCCAAATTTCAAAGACTCTAACTGAATTTCCATGATTTATTCATGATCAGACTTCCGGAAAATGGCATTTTAAAGGATGGCTGAAATGGCCGCGCAGGTAACAAACCTTCTGCATTTTATGTTTGCCAAAAGCTCCAGATATTTTTAAAAGGGGTTATTTGGCTGCCCCAGAAAGATGTACGAGACCTAAATCTCCAGTATAGCGGCAAGGACTGGAAGATTTGGAGAGGAACAACATCTTAGACAAAGCATACTAGATTTTTGTACAAATTCAGACAAAGGAATTCGGAAGCGACACACGTTCTTGGCTTGGTCACCACAGTGATGCATATGATCCGTAGCAAAAATGACAGAAAACCACCGCCCCCCCCCCCCCCCCCCAAAAAAAGGTGAATATCAATCTCAAAAGCAACCCTGATGCTGGGTAGCAAGTCCCAAGCTCCCCCCCCCATCAGCCGTCACCAAACAAGGCACGGCCGTGGTAAAAGTTCGCGTGGCAGACTTGAATCCCATGCGTGATGGTCTGTCTTAGCGAGTCCACGTGTGTCACAGCCGCTCTTCTCCTCTCCGGTAACCCTGTGAAACATTATCATTGAAAATCCTCACCGCTCCAACTGGCAATCAGCCTGTCAATGAAGAACATGAGGGGGGGGTGGGGTCATTTTCTGAAGAAAAAGATGCCCGATGCAACAGCAGATGGTAGCAAATCTTTTTCAGGCATGTAAACTGGAACCAGTAGCACAAACACATTGTTTAGATTGGCTTACTAACCGAATGTACTTGTTTGCTAAAAATACCTAAGCGGCACATTTCAAGATGGATACATGTCAACAAAACAACTATATTGTGACAAAAATAGTACCAATTTGTACCTTTGCTTGTCACTTGAGCTGTATCCTGATGGGTCTGCCAACTGTACCCTTAACTGTAGGTAATTGACTCTGAGGAACATTTTGGTACCATTGATGGCACATCAATGTTGTTTGTACCTTTGGAATGTTCCTCAGAGTCCATTTCTGTACCATAAAAAGGTACAATTACAAGGGTACAGCCCCAGTGACAAGCAAAGGTTCACCTTTTTACCCCTTTTTCCCCCCCTGAGAGTGTATGAACAAGGTTTTCAGCTATGCCAAGCTGACCTTGAATTTAATACTTGAGAAAACATCTCACACTATCTCCCAGTTTACAAAACTAGCAACAACAGCATTGATTATTGACTATGATCCTCAAGGCATTCCCCAACCTTTCACTATTAATAAGTCTTCTGTTGCCAATAATTACGAAATAGGCTTGAAGACATTACACCCAATTGTATGTTTGACATTACACTCATTTCAGTTTTGGAACATCTAACAGAATGCTAGGATAGTCCTCCATCATGGTCAGGACTGACTTTTAAGCAGAATACATTCACTTTCATATAAGAGATGAAAATTGCAAAAGTACTTCTATGACCGCAAATGGACTCAAATTACAGTGATAATTGTTTGACAAATGGAGTCCCATCTGCAATAGTCTTAGACGCAAAAAGGATATCAGCATTAATTATTAAATCACATTCTCCATGTTCCAGCAGAACCCATCGATCAAAGGCCTTCATTACATCATCGCCATAATTTGTCAGAGCAGCTGAAATGTCCTCATGAAAGCTTTCTTCCCACATTAAGCCCTTAGACGGTTCAACAGACTTTCTTCCAACATGCACACAATACGGAAGCCTAATTCAATTTACAGTAGTAAATGTTTGTTTAATGAGACTCACTACTTACGCACCTACTTACTTGGCCAGGCCACTTGCAGTATGTGGCAGCCATCCACACATGGGAAACAGATAGACCTTACCGGTCCTATGGGTTTTATATACTGTCCCAGTTGATAATTGCCAACACTGAATGAAACGGCTGAGCGTAATTTTGCTTATAAATTTTTATTTCAAATGGACCCATGTGTAAACATGCTTGATTGGACAAAACTGAACTACCTAGATTTTTAGCAAGCATTCCTTCTCATACCATTGCTCTCTTTCTATAGTTAGAAGAAACAAGAGCAGGTAAGATTATTGCGAACTGAACAAAGACAAACAACGTGACTTTTACGCAGATAGCACCAGATCCTATTCCATTGTAGTCATCATACTATTGCTGACACAAAACTATAGATATTGAATATGCAGTGGTCAAATTCCACCATTTATTATTGCTTGTTAGTTAATATCACACAGCAACAGCTTAAGAGTATAAGACAGTATTACTAATGCTATACAAGAGCCTTGAATTCCACTTGGTCACAAACTAATTTTATAAAAAGTATCCCAAATTTGACTTCATTCCATATAAATGTCAAAAAAAAAAACAACTGAATTTTAAAAAGCTAGCAATGCTCAATTCTATCTTAAGGTCATTCTCCGTGCCTCTTCTTAAAAGCAACAAACTGGCATCATTACACCATGTTTGCAACAAGGTAAACTTTGTTGATACGTATTTAAAAAACGTTTTATTTTGGCTAAATAACACTATTTAGCAAAAGCAGCAGTGCAAGTCTATAAAATCCCATAAAATAGGAATTTCTTCTGCTCCATGTAACAGTTATATTTAGTCTCCTTGATCTTAATTTCACAATCCTGTGGCCTGTACTACGAAGCGGCGTTACTGGCTTATTGGGGTAACTTGTCGGATTTAAGGTAGCACAGTTTACATTTCATATTCATTCACTTATATTTTGCCCAGACTACCTTAAATCCGAGAAGTTAGTAACCCCGCCTCATAGTACAGGCCCCAGGTTTGTGACCCACTGTGTATTTGGTTGTTTTTGCTTAAAATCAATACAGCAATCTCCGAGACAAGTAAATTGACGATCTATGCTAATAAAATAAGATCCCAAACACTGCTTTAACGACAGGTAAGGAGAAGATACTTAGAGCCAAGCATATTTTATAACTTTTACACGATTGTAAAATGAAGGCGTGTCTTCAAAGCATTCAGTTCAGCTTGATTTAAGAATATAAAATGACAAAACAGCCCAATGAATGAAGACTAATGGAGTCTAGCTAGCTTGGAAACTATCATACACAACATTTAGGGAGAACCAGAGCGGAGGAAGAAGCAGCATGATTTTCCCGATTTATCCGTTTGATATTCAGCAAAGTAATCCAGGAAAATAATTTGCTCAGGGGTACGACTGTTTCTGTGATTAATCAAAATCTCACCATCATAAAAATGCTGCTACCAAACATCGCAGAAAGAATCGTCTAAATTCCTGATGCACCAGTGCGACCAGTGGAAAAGTTAGTCTGGAGCTCTGATAAAAACAAAAAAGTTACAGTACCAGACAAGCTACAGCCAAATAGAACGTATCTACCTACAGTGTTGGACACAAAGCAATGGCGACAAATGCAACGTGATTACTGCACATGTGCACAATCCTGACATGATATATTGTGCAGCCCTAAATTTAACTGATTAATAATATGCTTGACTGAATAAAAAGACTACTAAACCTTAGTGAATTGGAATGGTTCTGGCAAAATATCATTTAAAACCTGGAAAAAGGAGCATTTTTAAAATCCACAGTCAAGAAAGGCGTACGTCAATGCACCGTACTGCCTGATTTTGCTTGTTAATCTAAGCAAGATTGTTTTTGTTAACCATTGTTGAAGCATGATTAGTTCACAGCCATGACAGTACTTGGTGGAGACACACAGATGCGATTTCCTGTTGCTCTGAGAAATCCCTTTGATGCCTACATCCCAATCATGCTGTCATATACAAAAATAAAGATACAGGGTTGGGTATGGGAGGGAGGGGAGAAAAAAAAACGAAAGACATGCACCAAAACCCTTCAAAAATGTAAAGGAATAAATAAAACAAAAAAATTAATTTCAGGAGATGAAAAAAGGTCCCAAAGAACTTGGATGGAAAGGAGGGGAAAATGCAGGCAGAGTTCGGTCATTTGCAGTCCAGGACGGGGAAGGCTGAGACGTTCAGTCATGAAAAGCGCAAATGAAGGTCCCACTGGTTAGAAAAGCAGCACGAAAGCAAGGCTTCAGAGGAGTTTGCGGAGGGCACGTTAGCGCAGCGTGAGGCAAATGAAAAACGGGGCGTCCAGCCGACAGAGAGCGTGAGCCAGCGCAGAGCCACCCTGCTAGCAGTTAGACCTCAGCCAAAGTTATGGATAATTTACGGAAAGCCACCGTTTCAAAGTCAGAGATGAGGATCGCACCTGAAGACGGCTCGGAGGGCTCGCTCACAGATACCGGGCCAGGATCTGAATCTTGGGCCTCAGCTAGTTGGAGAGGAAGAAAAAAAAGGTATAGGTGTAAGGTACCTGGCAGAGGTGGGGAAAAACTGTGATCAAATACACCCAAACATGTTTGTTATACTCCTAGTTATCCAGGATTAAATCTTACCCAATCCAGCCCATATATACAGCCTGGCCTAGCAAAGCAGGGACCACCAAGTTTATTACTCTAACAAATGTGTTCTGCTGATCAGAACAAAAATTTACAAAAGACCCGCCAACCACAGCTTTGAAAAACATCCACCCTACAATTAACAGCTTGGCAATATTGCTTTTCTGTAGATCCATAAAAACCTTTTGAGCTCTGAAGGGATTCTGGGAGTACAGGGGCGAGGGCTGTCTCCCCTTCCTCTGGGGGGCAGCTGGGCAAAGTGTCAGACTCTCCACCAGGAGGAGCTTCTTGGGTCTGAGAGTCCAAATCAGCTCCCTCCTCCTCAATCTTGGTTTCTGTGGCCTCTGGGCAGGGAGAGGGAGGAACTGCGAAACACGACAGATAATAGCGAATTATTCCAAGCTGAGACAGAGTTGTCTTTCCCAACCCGGTCCTTCGGGGACCTACAGACAGTCCTTGTTCTTCTTTCCCAGCTCCCAGAAGCAAAAACGTGGACCATCTGGCAGGGAGCTGGGATGGAGCAAAAACATAGATCGACTGTGGGTTCCTGAAGACCGACCCGGGAAACCCTGACTTATAACACAACAACGATTCTGTCTCAGCTTGAAATAATTTGCTTTTATGAATTCAGCTCAGCGGCCTATATGGTCAATTACGAAACAAATCAAATTAGTCAAAGGGGTAAAAAAATAAATAAAATTCTCTAAAATCAGGGGTGGCCAATCTTCTCCAGAAAGAGCCACTGTGTGCTGGTTTTCACTGCAACTCCCTAATTACTAATTAGATGACCGATTGGCTGAAGAGCCCTCATACGTGGGTTTGAACTGCTGACCTAAAGGTTGCCCCTAAAACCTGCATCCACACTGGCTCTTTGCGGATAAGATTGCCCACCCCTGGGCTAGACCTAAGAATTCCTTCTGCAGCAAAACAGAGGTTAAAGTGAGGGCTACATTAAATCTTCTGTAAAACCTAAAACCTGATATTCACCATCAAAACCTCTGCACAACAGAAATCGCACAACCCCACGATGTCTGACGTCCTCTTGGTCTAACGGGGCGCAGACAGACACGATGGCTCTGGGTACCTGTATCAGCTTCCTCTGCTTTGTCCTCCTCCTCTGGTGAGCTGGGGGTCTGACACTCTTCTTCTGATACAGCGGCACCATTTGCAGCCTGTTGTTCCGGGCTACTCTCTATCCCAGTGCTATCGGGCTTTAGAGGACTCTCTCCTAGACTGCTACGGGGCGACTGCATCTCCATCTCCTCACCCCAGTCAGTCACTGGCTCGTGCCCCTCCGGAGGTGAGAAGGGGCTCAGGGGTTTCGTGGGTTCGGGAGTGTCCTGCTGGGCTGGAAGCTGCACTTTGGGGCGGGGCGTACGTTGCTCTTTGGGGCTGACCGGGGAGGCAGTAGGTGGCGGAGAAGACGGCTTTTCTTTCGCCGTCTCTGGAGACGTGGCCACCCTCTCGACATCTTCTTCCACGTCTTCCTCCGCCATCTCTTCCTCTCCATCGCTGGCGTCTTCCCACTCGTCCTCGTCATCACCGGCCGCTGCGTCGGTGCTGCTGGTCACGACTGTCTCCGCCTGAAGAAACACCGTCGGTTCATTTCAGTGAAATCCTGCCAAAGCAGACACTGCAACGCTAGCAAACTCACACACGAACGAGGATAAATACCTTCTCCTTGGCAGGAAGCTTCTTATCCTCTTCATCTGTGGGCACCTTCTCAGTCTCTCCCTCCCAGCGATTATCATGCATACTGCCTCATGGAAATCCATACGACGCATGGCAAAAATATCCAGAAATAATTCAGATCAGATTAATATGAATATCCAGCCAAACTAATAAATGATAATGGACAATGAAGTTGATTATGGTGCCCCCACAGCACAGAACCGCATGGGGGTCTTCAGCGCGTACCTGTAATTTTTGCTCTTTGCATGACCTCTCCCTCTTCCTCTGCTCCCAAGACCCCCCTCTTTTGGTTTACCGTGCCCCAAGAAATCACCAAACGTGGGTGCCTTGGGTGGCCTCTTATTCTCCTCTGTTGAGAGCCCCACCACAAAAAAAAATAAAAAATACAATAAATCAGAGGCAGCCATTAGACCCGGAATGATAATCATGCAGCTGTAGTGATGGTGATGGATGGAGTCTAACGGAAGCAGCGGGTCAATGTGACTAATTGATTTTCAGACAGAATCGTCTGAAGCGAACAGAAAAAGACAAAACGACGGAATCTCAAACGAAACAAAGGTCATGTACCACAGAGGGGGGAGTTTCATAAAAACTACGCAAAAAATAAAAGCACAACAAGGCTCAGCTCATGCTGGTTAGCAAATACGTAAGTGCATTCACCAGAGCAGACCAACAAAATCCTCAGTGCTGTTAAACAGACAAGTCTCCTTTGGTGCTAGAAAAACTTTGCCGAGTTATCACCCTTAAAATTACTTTTACACATGCATTCCAAACAATTTTAGGCAAACGAATCCAACTCCTTGTGCGGTTACGTTATTTACAAGCAACGTAAAATTATTTTGCCGTTTAAAAAGCGAAAAATATCCTTTTTAATCTGTTGGCCAGCACTGGTCCGGCACGGGGACCGGGACTCGTTTTAAACATTCACACCAAAACTCCGAGCTGACCTGAGACCTTCTGCATTTTGGCATTACGCCCTGTAGATGTAAAGGACACAGAAACAGTCACCAAGGCAGCGCAAAAAAAAAACAGGCGCCTAGAATTCCCCAGACATCCATCACATCATGCATCTGAATGCCTTTTACTCTAAAGTTAGACAGGTCCTGGTGCTGACTGACGTCAAAGGGAATTGTATATGTAACTAATGGCTTCATTGCTGATAAACTTGCAGCTATGTGATAACATTTAGGTGGAAAAACCCTTTCGATTAAGTGGCCGCACCAGACAGCAGAAAGGGCCTGTAATGCTACTTACCCCTCTTAACACCTGGATCCTGAACGTCCTCTGCGACAGCTTCCTCCTTGAACCTGTAATCACACCGTAGGTTAAATCTCTAACCCTGATTGGATCCGGCAGGTCACTGTGAATGCTATGCAGCTGTGAAGTGAATTTCAGCTCGGAGAACAGGACCTTCACTGAAGTTCTTCATAGTATTTATGCGGACATGGTGACAGGTTCCCAGAAAGATTTTGCTATAACCATGTCACAGATCTCATACTGCCATTATTTAAAGTCAAATTGGACTGAGTAAATACCGTTATGTGAGGCCTGATTAACAATAACCACTCGTCCAACAAAAAGTAGATTCCAGGGAAGTATTCAGTCCCAGGATCAATGTGTGGGAAAGAGCATTGTTCTGTATCCCATATTTTTTCCTCTGCTAATACAGGAATAGATATCAACACTGGCTCTCCATTAAGGCAATTTGTACAATTTAATTATTTCTGAAGTACACTACCGAGGAAAACAACCATTTAGTCTAGTGCAATGTTTGTGAAGGTACAAATCAGTGCAATCTGGTCCTTGGGTACCTACGAGTAGTCCATGTTTTTGCTCCCAGTAAGGGAGCAAAAATGTGGACTGTCTAGCAGGGAGCTGGGAAGGAGCAGAGACATGGGCCGACTGTGGCTCCACAAGGACTGGATTGGGAAACACTGATCTAGTGCATGAGGTCAGAGCTCACATGGAATCGGTTTTCTGAGCGTCCCACTCGCGTCGCCACTGGCCAGTGGCGTTGCGGTGCCGGGCCAGGCGCTCCTCGTCGATCTGCTCGCGCTCCTTCTTCCAGCGGAGATATTCCGCCCGCTCCCGGCCTGTCATGGACATAGTCATGTCCACAGAGCCCTTTGTGCCTGGCCTCCGACTCTACCGGGACAAACACACACGTTCAGAAATGCAGAAAGAAGAAATGTCAAGCCAGCAGATGAGCGGAAAGAAAAATCATTTAAAAATCTAAAGAAAAAATGCCTAATTGTCTTTGACAAAGCACAGGCACATGCTCCCCACAGATGGATAGATCAGCAGACTTTTGCTGCTTCACAGTATGTGTACTTCACTGTACATGCCATCTCGCGTACCCATTTTACGTCATCTTCCATTGCCGAAGACCAGTTCCAATAGTCAAGTACAGAAGTACTCAAGGACAGTAAAAATCCAAATATCTAGGATACAGCGGTCGTATCCTCGCCAAACGAGACCTATCCCATGATTCATTGCGCCCCAAGTTCATTCTTGGGAGGCACGTTCGTAAGACTGGTCCTGCCAAGACCACACGTACGATATTTGCGTTCTTGGCAGCGAGAAACGCCCTGTGTCTCCATGACGAGGCGCGCAGTGTCGTGTCCGTCACGCTCACCGTCCATTCCTTTTCCAGCTCGGGCCCCGTCTTCACGTTGTCGAAGTCGAGGCCGCCCCAGTTACGGACATGCCTGCGACTGCCCTCCTTGCGGTCGGCCTCGAGAATGGGGCCGCACCGTCTGGGGTCGTCCAGGAAGTTGCGGACCGGGTTCTTCTCGCCTTCTCCCTGTGAGGACCACCTCAGGCTGAGCTTCATGTACAGATCCTCAGATTCGTGCCATTTGAATACAGACACCTGACTTACTCTCTGGCCTCTTTCATACTCCGCGATCTTCTCCATCTCCTCGTTCACCTTCTCAATGTTCTGCCGCCTCTTCTCCTCCCATTCCTAAACAAAGTTGAAGCAGTTCCTATTTAAAAGCCCTGAAAAATGAAAATGTATTGACTGTAGCCCCAGTCACAACAGAACAGTAACACTCTCTCTAACCTTCGACTTCCGGTCTGATCCGGGTCCTACTGGAGGCCCCGCTCCCCTCCCTCTTCTTCCTCCCCGGGGAGTGCGTTCCGGCCGGCCCTGGCCGTCCCAGGGCTCGCCCTCCCGCGGTGAGCGTTCAGGCCGTGACTCTGCTTTATCCTGCTTCACTTCCTGTTTGTTCTGCCGGGCCTCCATCCGTTCTTGCCACAGTCCTCCCCGCGGCCCTCCCCGGCTCAGCCTCCCCGAGCCTGGCTTCTTGGGAGAGCTCTCACCCTGGATTGCTGCTGGATCGGCCTCTTCAGGGGCCACCCCACCACGAGGAGCTCCTGGTTTCCTCTCATTGATGATGCGCTTCTCCTATCCAAAAAAAAAAAAAAAAAAAAACCACACATGATCAAGATCTTCCCTTTTCAATTACTCAGCATCACCGTGTTCTAGAATGTGTGGCGTGATTCTATCTATGGATCTTAAACTACATTCAAATGAAGACTGACACAAATTAGATACAGGCCCTGTAATAAACTGCAATAAAAACAGACTGTGGAAGTTAGCAGTGTGGCTGCTCCCGCAGGGTTTCCTTAAAGTTCTGGGGGCGTATGACCTCTGGAGACCCCCTGAGGGACGTCCTCTCACAGCAGCATACACCAGCTGGCCCAGAATAATCACAACGGGCTTTGATTAAATGGCTTCAGGCTGCCCCCCCCAGGCCACGGGAGAGTGATTAAAAAACCTGCTGCCCAATAGAGATCCTGCAGGTATTTATGAGTACTAGGCGATGCTCTGGGTGGGTTCTGTCCACAGTGAGACTTCGCACACCATAAGCTGATCCCCAGAACATAAAATCTAAGCATTTCTGAAAGCTTAAAAGCTCAGTGCCTTGGCTGGACAATAAATATGAGCTAAACTTATTTCGTTCCCCATGCAACCTCTGTTAATTGCAAAACTGATATTAAAAGGAAATATGAATGGTCATGATGAAAGGAAATTGCAAGTAAATGGGCTGCTTCTGATGGTATGAGTTTCGGCAAAAGTCCATAGGGATCATTAGGGAGGACTGCATGTTACAGAGATGATCGAATTAGGCCCGAGCGAGGCCTATTGTTTGTCGCCATTGCCGGGGGTGGGGGGTGCTGTCACCAGCTGAGGCTCCGACACATTGGCCTGGACCCACCCCAGCAGGTTTGGAGAGATCCACGGTGATGGTGAGGTTCTCTTTCTCAGTCCTCCTGCGGTCGGACTCGGCCTCATGGGATCGTGGTTTGCGGGCCGTGGTCACGGCAATCCCCTCTTGCTCCGCCTTCTTTTTGTCTTCTTCGATTTCCTACCACAAAGAGGGGCAAATCAGCAGAACACCAAGTCATTTTGCAGTAGATAAAGAATAAAAACAAAAAGCGTTGTAAAAAAGAAAAAACATTTCCACATTTGACCGTTATCTTCATATGACGTGGTCAAAATGATTATATATTATTAGATTTCAGCAGGGTGTTGTTGGCTTATAGGACTAAACCAGAGGAAAGCCAGAAATGCAAGGGAATGTGCCTGCATTGTAACAAACCAGCACACATGCAGCTGCAAGCTGACAGAGAGCATTATGCACCAAAACACTGATCCCTGACTCATGATACTTAAAAATCCAGAAAGACTGGGGGAAATGGTAAAATGCAAATAAAAACAGCAGTAATTGGCAACTCTTCTTTAACATATTCTAAAATAAAAAAGAAAAGTAATGCGCTACTTCATCAACTATTTAAAAAAAAAAAATATGCACACATTCTGAATTTGGTGCCTACAATACATTTCAGAAAAGGTTGGACAGGAGGGGTGAAAATCGCAGGCATTCGCGTTTGGTTTCTGACTTTGTCCTTGTTCTTAATTTGCTGGATTATTTAATCACAATTGAGTCAGAGTTTTGTCAAGCCTTGATCCATGCTTGCTTGTAACTGACAGCAATTTTATGCCCAAGCATGACGGCATCACCTACACAACATTTTCTGCTCTTAGCCTTATGTTGCCCCCTGCCAACTTTTTCGAAGCGTTGCAGGAAAAAAATTTGGAATAAATGCATATTTATAAAATAAGTGTCCAGTGATAAGGAGAACTCTCAAACATTAAAATGTTTACTCTGCAAATTTTAAGACAGATCGAAGACAACTTAATAATCATGACTGTTTCTCTTTACATTCTGCAATCTATCCAAACTTTTTTGAACTAGGGTTTGTAAATGACAGAATGTTGTGTAATGATAGAATCTATTCATATTTATAATGATTTATTACTGCTTACCTGATATCGACGAACAAGAGCCTCATTTTTCTTTCGAAGAGCCTCAATCCGTCGGTCAAGCTCTGCATCTTTCTCTTCTTTTGTCTTCAGATCAACTGCTGTCGACTAAGAAAATCATAAAGAAAATCATGAAACAGAACAGAACATGACAACCAAAGCAATGCAAGAACTCAAAGCATTAAAAAGCACTCTTTTAGCCAGCCAAATCAGTGAACAGCTAAAACAACCATCTCCTGTGCATCTATGCATGTCATGATACAGTACAGCAGTCCAATTTGTAACAATTTAACTGGGTAACACCAATCAGCTGCAGAGGCTACAGTATAATCATGTGATCATACACAAGACCGTCACACCTATCTTCCTAAGTTACCGATCCTGAAACACGGATCCACCTAAACAACAACCTAGATGAACAAAACGCTGTGGACTCACCATGGCTGCATGCACCGCGTTGTTTTACAGGTGGCAGACAGGAATACTGCCACTTAAGTTTGCGGTTTCCACCCCTACGCAAGAAAAACAAACACCTTTGAAGATACCCAACACTACAGTTGACGATTATCCAGTCACCGGTGACGACCAGATTATTTTAATATGGCGCATTTACTCTCAGATGGTTTATGTGGTAGCCATAACATACCCACACATGAACAGAATTTCAGAAGAACAAATCAGCATGTAAAGGGGATAATTACTGGAGACCCTATAGAGAGGCAAATAAACAAAATTTCATATGCAACGACTAGTTTTTTCCAAATCGCTCGTTAACTGCATAATTAGGAGTGTTCAAACATGCATAAATCAATAATGCATTTATTAGCGCATGCCATTGCCCCCCCTCACCTCTCTTTAGTCCTTCCTAACTCAAATAACCAGGTCAGCTTAATTTTATCATTACAATACTTGACACTGAGCGACAATAACCTAGAACTTATTCTCAGCCAAATAAACTGTGCCAGATAGCTATAGTACATGAACCTGTTTCGTACCGTTTGATACACACGACTGCACCCTTAAAAACGGGTTCGGGTAAGCTATGCCTCAGCTTGTGGCCGAAGAATATTGGCATTTTACGTTTATCTAATATTCTTACCTACCTTTATTTTGTGCGGATTATTTTATTTACAGGCCCCCGGTATGTGCACTTTCTGTCCTGGCAAAATCATGTCCTCGCATCCATTTCCGGTACAATGAACTACAACTTCCGGCCAAATAATGAGCCGGGGCGCGTGTTAAAGGGATCGAAGGCGGCACGGGACGATGTGCGCGCGCCGACAAAAAATGCGGTAGTGACACTTCATTTATCAACCTCAGTCGTACCAATGGGCAACCTTGGAGAGACTATAAAAGCGACTGTGTGCAAACGGGTGGGGTGTGTTGAAATTACAGACATTAATTGACGGGGTGAAGGAAGGGAAACCAAATAGGAATTTAAAATTATACTCAAATATTCACGTTGGCCCGAAGAGCTTTTTGAACAGCCAAACTATTTTATCGGTTTAAAGCGTACAGCGTGCATCTATCAGTTCTGTCTAATCCAGTTTACACTACAAATATAGTGTATATGTCAAGCTTTGGAATTTCCTTTTTTTTCGGAAGGTATAACTATTTGTCAACCCAGATTGTATGCGAAACTTTTCGGTAACTTAACTGGTCCGAGATGGGTTTAAATTTACTGCTACGAGACTCTAAAACTTGAACAAAATTAGATTTTGTTGCTTCAAGGACAATAATAGTAATAATAAAAAACGGCACTGGTATACATACTTGTTCGTAATCACTAAGTTCGTATTTCAACAGTCAAAAATTCATTTAAAACACGTGTAGTTTACTTTCACTTGACATAGACTTTGTTTATATTTATCTTTTAAATATATATAAATATATTAATACGTAATTAAAGAACTGCAAAAAATGAAAGGGCAAATGTATGACAATTCTTATATTACGCACAAGGGGGCGCTTTAATACAGTGAATTAAGTCAATGATTTTAGTGTACTTCTCAAAATCTGGAATTCTGTTTATAATGTACCAACACCGTTAAAACGTATGATTATGTATTTAAGCACTCACTGTATGTAGCAGCCTATCATACGTAAAATGTAAGTGTGCCGCTTCCGTAAGAGCGGCACACTCACATATATATAAATTTCTATCACGGGTAATTTATTCACGTCTTAATTAATTAAAACTACGAAAGTTCGTGTAATGAATGTAAAAGAAGTGTTAGATTGGAGAACGGTGCTCTGGATCGAGTGTACCACGGCTTTGATAACCTCAATGTTCAAAGAGGAACTGACCATGCACGCTCCCTTTTATATGACGGTGCGCTCTAAAAATAGAAATGGTGTTGTAATCACGAGCGATATATTTTTAGAGAAATGACGTGTTCGATAAAACAAAAAACTTTCCGAAAGTACGTGAGCGGTTGTGCTCTTATTGGGTTCATGCAAATATTTAGAGGACACCGCAATGCCAGCGCATAATCGCCCATAAAGACGGGTTAAATTTCATTAGATCGGTGCAATGTGCACGTTTGTGACGGAAGTTTTCTCTATAACCCGCGACATCACGCACTACACACACGTGATAAGATTGTGTCAATCCCGTGTTAACCTAATTAGTACATACGTGAAAGGACTAATCCTTAAAGTCAGCTACTTTGGTAAATTGTTAGTGGCTTGTGTAAACGTAATCCTAAATGACAGGGTTGTTAATATACACTAGTGGCCAAAATTGTGGAAACATTCGCAATTTATATAGATTGCAGAACTTTATTCCAGTTACTTGTTTAATCGTCCATTTGTATGATATTTGTAAACATTATTTAATTGTTTATATACATTACCGCCGTTTTTAAAGCGTAATGCCAAAAATGTTAGGTATTTCCACAATTCCGTCCACTAGTGCAGAATCCATAAAATAACAAATGGTCTGATATCTTTATGAAGGGAACATTGTTATACTGGAAAAAACGGGCCATCATGCAAGCATTAAGTGAAAATGCAGTCAGGTAAAAGAAATCATAATAATCATAATGAATTTACTATTTGATACTTTAATGTTCATCCTAATGCATGAACATAATCAACACATTCATCAACATAAATTAATGCATAAGCGGGAGCGAATCGAATTAAGGGCTTGACATTGCTGGTGGACTGCACAGGCTGAAGCTGACGGTAGATGACAGAAGGACCCCCCCCCCCCACACACACACCGTGCTGACGAGCGGCCTCTCGTAGACTCTCCTTGCTTTGCAGTGTCATCATGGGGAGCGAGAAGGAGCGCGCCGCCGTGCCGGA